AACAAATAAAAAGTATTAATAAATGCAATCTCATAGCTACTATTAATTGTTAGAATATTTCAGATGCATGTGTTCAATTTCACTTCTGGAAATAAAATTTAGATAACTTAATATTTGTTTATTACAAGCTTTATTTGAGTTAAAGATAGAAAACAATATACTTTTATTTGCAATTTAATGATGCAAATGGTTATGCAATCTAAAATAGTTTACAGTAATTCCTTTTATATTTTATCATACCCTTTTATACAGTATATATATATATATATATAAGGAATAAAGCTAATCGTTTAAGAGGTTTAATAATAATTTTTCTTAAAAAAATTTTTCTTCAGTGTGTTTCTAGGTATAAAGCTCATAATTGCCAAAATACTTATATTAAGTGCCTGAACCCAAGTCATTAAATAAAACTAAGGTCACATTTGTAAAAAAAAAAAAAAGAAAAGAAAAAAAAGTGCTAAAGACGATGGTGCACAAAAAACATGCACTTAATACATACTTTCCAAAAGGACATAAACTGTAGTTTTAGGCACTGCCATCTCTTCAAATTTTCTGTACCAACAATATTTAACAGGACTTCTGATGTCCAGATGCTATTGTAGAAAGATGACCAAGGCAACCACGTGCAGAAAGCTTGTGTGTAATGCAGAGAAAATAAAGATAGCATTTGGAAGTAAAGGCTTGCAATGATAGTTGTATGATACCTGAAAGGCTTGGAGTGTCGTCCTGTTATTAAAAAATTAAAGTCTAATAATGCCACTGGAGTCATATGAATACTTGATGTACAGAAGTCACCTTTAAAATGAATTAAAATTTGTAAATAGGCAGACATTTCTGTGGTGGTACATTGACAGTGTGGCTTCTGTAACAAGTAGCTGATCAACCATGAAAGCCAATTATTTCTCCTAAACCTTAGTATAAAATGGACACATTGTAAATATGGAATGTTTAACATAGATATTAGACTTCAAAAATGACAATATTGAAAAATCCCCCGTTTTAATTCATATTGCATAGCTGAAAATTCATATATGTATAAAAGTGTTCTGTTCATTCAAGCAGAATTCTGGTCCACTCTCCTTCAATTTCCTTCTTTCATACTGTACAGTGGCTCCACAAGTTTATTGTGCACATGCATTAAACCTTAAAGAAAAAAGCACATTTCTAGTTTTATTTCTAATTTGAACTGTACCTCATTTACTTTAGAAAAAGAAAGATTTAATAAAATACAACATATATTAGCTCCCGCCTAATACAAAATGCTTGTATTTATTGGAAAGATGCAAACAGAAATGTTTCAGACTGTTTAGTTTTCCCTTCTCCAGAGGATCGTACTGACACAGGAATGGAACCTGGGTCTCCTGCATTGTAGGCAGATTCTTTATCTTTCAGACTGTTTAGTTTTCCTTTCTCCAGAGGATCTTCCTGACCCAGGAATCGAACCTGGGTCTCCCACATTGTAGGCAGATTCTTTACCGTCTGAGACACCAGGGAAGCCCCCAATACATAATGGTTCTATTTATTGGAAAGATGCAAACAAATGTTTCGGAATGTTTAAACTACCTAGAAAGTATCAATTTATGGTTATGAAATCGTAGATCTAGAATGGGGTACAGGTTCTTTAAGTAAGCAAAAGTAAGAGCAGTTTTGTCTTTAGAATTTCAGTATGACAAAATAACAGATTTGAATATTAATTACCTCTAAAGTCTATTGAGTTTGACTCTCTGAGGAGCTCAGAGTCAAACTCTAGTCAAACTCTGCTGAGGAGCTCAGAACTGTTGTTACGTTAGTTCTCCAATGTATTATCCTATCCACTCAACTGGCAAATTATTTTTCACTCTTTTGACATGTGTGTTTACAATAGGGGTTGATGACAAGTCACTCAGACAAGTTTACTAAAACAATGTAGAAGATAACCTACATTAAATATTAATTTCCAAGTAAATTTAGAGTTCATCTTATAATTGGCATGGTTGTAAAATCTCCTTAATTATTAAAGCTTCTTGGGGAAATCTTCCAGTTACTCATGTCTTTGGGGAAATAAATGGTCCCAATTAATCAAATTTGGAGGTCAGAGAAATCAGTTAAATTTTACCATGCTGTTAAGAACATGGAGACTGGGGAAAGGGACTAATGTGGTTTTCTTAAGAAATGGAATTAACAGGATTGGGGACACAGGGTACTTGCTAGTAAGAAAGTGTTATCAAAAGGCTGCAGAATCACTCTAAAATTCAAACTGTGAAGACCCATTTTTAAGAGGTAAGTAAAAGGACATGTAAAGAACACTAAAGTCCTACTACATGTAGGAGAAAAACCAGGAGTGGAACAGTCCTGAGAGAAATATTCACTAGTGCAGTTGAATGTTAATTACTCAACAGCTTACTTCAGTGTCTCATAATCACCTCAGACTTGTTGACAAAGTCCAGATCCATTTTCCCCTTCTATACCATTTCTTTAAAATATTAGTATATGGTATTATCTATCATTTGCTGAGCTGCTAACACCAGACAACTGAAATTCAGTGGTGATGTTTTTCTTTTAAACTCGGCAAGACTGCTTGACATTCCTTTCAAAATACATCGCAGATTAGCTACATTTCTTCATCTCTACAGCTGGTTGAAGCCACTTTCCTCTCTAATCTTCTCTCCAGCTCAACACCCTATTTGCATAATTTTTCCTTTTTTAATTAAAAAAAAAAAAGAAAGAAACTAGATGATACCATTCCCCTACTTAAAATTCTCTCATTGCTATGGTCACTTAGAAAATAACTTAGATTTCAGTCTGTTGTCTTTGTTTATCCCTCTGATCTCATGCCCTTCCACTTCCCCCTTCTGTGTCACACTCAACCCTGGCTTTGTTGCTGTTACCTCAGAAAGGCTAAGCTTGGTCACAGTGCGGGTCTGCATCTGCTGTCTCATTTAGCTGGGGATGCTCTTCTCCCTGAGCAGAGCATGATTTTCTCCTTTAGGCTTACTGGCTCTCAGCCTAAATGTCACCTTATAATGAACTACTATTTCACTTTCTTTAGAACAGTTTGCACTCAGAAAATAAACTGAGGTTCAGGACCTTAAATTTTCTGCTCTAAATTTTGGGTTTATAAAGATCATGATACACGGTGGGAGCTCAGTAAACATTTACTTTAAAAAAAATCTGTGAAGGTTCAGTGAGATGGCTTCTGGGAAGCTTTTTTTTTAATAAAATGAATTTAGAACATACATTGTTAAAAAGGAGAAAGGGAGAGAGTGGAGACCAGGATTCTGTAACTCAAAGGTCCTTAAGGCTGAAAAGTATCTAGAGCAGTGGCAGAATGGCTAGACATGGACGGATGCTTAATCACTAAGGATAAATCTAGAATCCTGGAGGTAAGACTGGAGGGACGGAAGTTAAAGTGTTCCACGCAGCTGGAGAGAGAAGGGTCAGAAGGTTAAAGTGAGTAATGGGAAGAGTTTGAAGACAGCAAAGCGAGGAGCACAATTAACCCAAGAAATGAAAGAGTTATGTATAACAAGAACTAAACTAAGCATACAGGCCCTTGATTGGTTCTGCCTGCACCTCGGGAATATGACAGCTATTTAGCTATCTGGCCTTATATATAAAATGAAGTAAACTCTGCTCAAAAGTTCAAAATAAAAAGCAAGGTACTTGTCATAGCGCATAAAAGTCCTATAATGATGTTTGGTTTCTATGTCTTAGATAATGTAATCTCTAATACTTGAATGTTTCTACAGTGACAGTTCCATAAAGTTATCTAACCTTCCCGTCCACGCTTACCAGTGCTTTGAAGATGAAAAGCCTATGATAAAACCCATGAGAAGGTGGACAAACCAACAAATACTTCATCCATTCGACTGTTTCATGCACACTCTCTCTGAAGCTGGATTTTAAATTACTTATTTACTGGCATATGTTATTTGCTCAAAAAATGTTAATACATAATATTTTTCTCAGGGCTGATAACTCCTCTCCTCCAATATTCTTTTGAAAGGCCACTGACATGTCAGCCCTCATTTGCCTTTTCACTAAATTTTTAAAGTATACGCAAGTCCCATTTTAGCCTGTACTTTTAAAACAATATACTTTGTTTTCTATTCTACTAAGAGGAACTTTTTCCTGCTACTGTGTCAGTTCATCCTTGCACCTGTGCTGTTGATTATGCCATTTTCTTGAAAACTAAACGCTAGGCATCTTCAACAGCTCTCAGTCCCATCAGCTCAATTAAAGTTTTCTTCCAGTACTATATAAAAATCTCCTTAATGTACCTTGGATTTCACAGTGATTTACGTAATTTAGTTCTTAAACTGAAATGGTATCAGCGTCACGTGCTTATCCCTCTACCTGCCCAACTTCCTAGAATCTACCAAGTGTCTCCAATGTACTAGCATCCTTTGAGATGCTGAACTAATGTAGTGAACCAAAACTAAAGCCCCTACCTTTATGGAGCTACATTTTATTGATATTTTCTCAAATCACTTAATGAGCCAGTTTTTATGAAGAATGCCAACTACTTCCAGGCAGGGAAACCTATACTTCTTTTGAGTAATACCACAGGAGACAATATATTTGAAGGCACAGTAACTCATGTTTCCTGACTGATGACATTAACTGGAAAATATAATTTACGTTTCCCAAAAATGAACATTAAAGGGTAATTTTTTATATTGCAAAAGTTATCTGCTTATGAAAAAAATTTACCAGATAATTATCTCTAAATAGAACCAATCTTATTTAAAACAAGATTTAACTGGAAAGTTTACAAACAGTATGTAAACAGCAGCAAGGTTGAGATTGGAGAGGCCTGAGAGGAGACAGCAGAGACCATGGCAATCACAGCTGTGTAGTTTAGAAGGTACAGGTCTTCTAGAGTATGAGCTCTCAGAGGATCATTCTTCTTGATATAATTCATCTACCATTTGCTTAAAGCTTTGACCATGGTAAGAATACATCAGAGCTTAAAAATGCACAATTTAAAACATCAGGATAAACATTACAAATCCAACTCATTCATAAAGTTTTTTTTTTAAACTAAACACTAGCTATGACTTGTACATAAAGCAACTTCCTACACAAGAATGTGATAAAACATATATAACTGCTACTTAAATCATAAATAGAAATAAGTAAATTCTAATAAAAATGATAAAAATGCATAGACTTCTGACATGTTGCCTGAAGAAGAAAAGCTAAATATAGATTTTATGGTTTGGTTCAATCTGAACTCATTCAAGGTCTATCAAGCTACTGGAGTAGGGCCTGCGAAGGATAAAACAAAGCAAAATGTTCACCATGATGATAATATCTTGAAAATATATTACTTCAAGGATATAAAACATAGGTTTTATTAAAAAAAAACTGGAATAAAATAATTAAAATGTTTTTCTGTGATCTACTTATATCTTTCAAAAGATACATACTGAAGTAAACTTCCATTTGCTAATGATGTGTATTGTTTTACATGTAGTTAACTTAAGATTTCTTTAGGAGCTAATAATTAGAACCCTTCACGATTCCTGTTGACACTTTTAAAGGGATGGCAGAAGAAAGAATAGTGGTATGAATGGTATTTGAAGAGTTGAAGATAACTATGGGATTCATTTCCTCCAGTATATCTAATAGCAATATAATAATGAGAACATAACAAGTATACAAAATTATATTAATAACATGTATAAATTTATGAAGTCAAACATTCTACCTTGTATCAAAATCCTTTACTATAAAATGAGGTCTATATATGTAGCCCAGAACAATATCTCAAATCCATTTTTCTCCATATTGAAGGAGGCATCCTGACAGAGGCTGATATCTCTTCAGAAATATGTTCAGCTTCATAATTTGTTAATTTGTAAGTGACGTAACATCTCTACTAAGCCTGTTAATTCACCTATAAATGGGATTATAAGAGTAGCCATGTCATAGAATTTTGAGAATTAAGTAAGTCAGTAAGTATATTATGTTTAAAATAGCGCCTGGTAATATAAGTATTGGCTATTACTATTTTCTAATAAAAATCAGACTGACAAAATCAGACAAGTATAGGGAGTTTATCTGGAAATTACTCGTGTTAGAAAATGGCAATGTTAATCTCTGAACTGGCATTAAAGTATGTGGATGCTGAAGACTGCTTCTGTTAACTTTGTCAAGGAATCTAATAGTTGTGATGAAACCTGGACTACATGGAAATATATGGGTAAGATGCCATCAAGAGCTCTATCTTATTCATAACCCATAACTGAGCTATTCTCTGTTTTTTATCTGTCAAATTACTAATTACAATTTTCAGTTTAGTTTGGTATATTTGTGACTTGGTAAAAAGCTGGTAATTTAACTGATAAAAATATAAATAACTGAAAGTAATCTAAGTGTTTAACAATAGGGAAACATTTAAGTAAACTATGACATCTATCATATAGCCATTAATAGTTTTGAAGAATATTTAGTAAAACAAGAAAATTCTCACAACAGGTTAAGTGCTAATACTAAACTCTATATATATATGATCAAAATTTCATGTTAAAAATGAGACTATTTTCCCTGCTTGCCAAACTTCATTTGTATTACAGTCAAGATTTTTTGACATTCACACTCTCCCATGAACCATGAGTTTGTGATTTCCTTTAAATTGAATTTTCAAGTTATTGCTATATTTCATGAATATGAGATGCTGAAAAAGTATAAGACATGCTATTATTTTATGTACCTCTAAGGAAAACTTGCTCCCAGATAAACTATATGAAATCTACTTTAAACAGCCCAATTTCAAATTAGATAAATGTGAAAAAGGCAGTGTCTTAGAGCTAATAAAATACAGTAACCTCTTTAACCTTGTCAAAGCAATGATATCCATGAAATACAAGTTTGGTTGGTTCAGTATGTATTTTTTCTAATATATATTAAACACCTAGTTATTAGAGTAAAAAGATTAAAAATGTATTTTCATTCACATAATATCACCAGTACACTTACTACATACTTTATGAATTACTGAACTATATATATGACTAATTACATCATATTCAATCACATTAAGTTTTAATTGTTATCTACAATGGAACATTCACCCAATCTACTTTTGAAACTTCAGTGCTCACCTTTAAAGTATTTCACAGTTTTAACTCTTAATTCTAAAGTAGCATCTTCATCACATACAAAAATAGTTCGGGGATGCTGCTGGAAAGCTGAAACAGTCCACATGTGATTGACTCCTTCTTCTATTGCTTTGTAGAGAGCAAATGCCTTGTGTGCGCCTGTAATGAGGATCATTACCTGAAAAATCATGAACAATTCTTAAAACACATTCAAATGACTAAGAAGCTGTTTTTTAAAACAAAGAATTGAGCACCAATATTTTTCTGAGGCTTGAAATAAAAAGAAATAGCTCCATATTTCTTGATAGTCCAAGATATTTATTCCTGCTCTTTAAGGTAACAGGCAAGCACACAGGAGACAAAGTAAAACAGCATCTTGTAATGGAGCGCTACTAAATGCACCATAATGCCTCTGGTATTTAACACTTATGACAGTGGGTGTGCAGAAGGGACCTGGGGGAATAAAGGAAAAGAAACGAAGGCTACTTTGTAAAAGCAGAGTTGCATAAATCACATAACCAGGCTCTAGTTAAGTAGTAGATATCACTTTGGAAAAGCAAAGGACTCTGAAACAACAGACACTTTAAAAGTAATCTATAGAGTCTGAAGACTGTTCACTGAATAGGTGCTATATAAAGCTATTTTGGAACAAAACTAGGTTTAAGGAAGGATTCAGAATCTACTTAAATATAGGAACTATCCTTTTTTTCTCTTAAGACTCATATGTGTTACATAATTGAGACCTATCCTTAGGTACAGAAAATCCAAGCTCTTGGTCCCAAATCCCTAATAGCCTATGAGATAATTCAAAGAACATGTGCAAAAATGAGTAAGTGTATAGATGTCTGAAAGAATAATTTCTTTACCAGTGTTAGCAGTAACTCAATCCTATTTTACAAGTTAAAAGTTTATGAAATAAATCGTTAAACATTTTTTCTCATTACAATCATTAACTAAAAAATGAATGTTAAGGTGGTTGTAATTCTAAAATATCTATAACAACGTAAAAATTCTGTATTTTGTATTTTATCACCAGACCTTCTAAAACGTGGAGGAAATTAAAGATTAATAAAATCTTAAAAAATATCAAAGCCCAAAAATGCATTTAAAATGTGTATGAATTTCTGCTGTTTTTTATTGACACTTCTTGTTCTTAAGTACAGAAATCTCAGTTCAGTGAAGAATTAATTGCCTATAATTAAAGGCATTTTTTAATTAAAAGCGCCTGTAATTAAAAGCATTCTTTTAAACATTAACAATGCTTGACATAATAAGGTAAGCACAACACTTGATTAGTGGCTTTATTAATTAGTTTTCCTTATTGGAAATTAAAGACACAGGAGTTAAAAAAAAAACAGTAATAAAATATTCAAGTTCTTTGCTCTGTCTTCTATTCAGAATCTTTGGAATTAGAACCCAAGAATCAGGGTCCCTTAAGTGATTACTATGCAATCTGGCATAAATCCTTATACTATCATTTGAAAAGTCTCTTTAAAGCAACTTAACACACACTACATTAAATGGGAATATGTAGTGGTAACTGCATGATAGATATTTATTGAAATGGTTATTTCAGGAGTTTTAAGATGATTTGGTGATTTCAAAGTTAAACACTGAACTTAGCACTTTCTATGAATCATCTCATTTAACTCCTCAAAACAACAGCATGAGATAAATACTATTCTTATTTTCCTGTTTTATAGATAAACTGAGGCACAGATATTCGGTACCTTGCTGAAGGTCTTGGTAAGGCTACTATATAAACAAGAGGTCTGATTCCAGCAACCACATCCTTAACAACTACAATAAGACATATAACCTTTAATTGAAAATTATGAAGACATATCTGGAGAATCAGGAATTGAAAAGCACTGTTCTCATAATTAATTTGATGTTGCTAATGTGATCATGTCTGCTCTATCTGTTCCACTATTTTCAAGGAATAAGAGAATAAATGTGAACAAGATTTAAGAGTAGCTCCTGTCTGAAACCAAGTCTTTGAGGATAAGTAGAAAAGGGGGCATTTCAGACAATTATAGGGTGGTCAATAAAAAGCTAGAAATCTGGTAAGGCTGGACCATAGGGTAATGAATGGAAGTGGCTAAAAATTGACTGAAATTTGATATATGAGCCTTTTCATGCCAAACAAAGGGGCTTGATACCATCTGTGGTGAAGTAGCAGGGAATCAGAGACTTATTACACACACAAGTAATAACTAAATTATGTTCTTTTAAAAAAATTAGGCTGTAATATAGAGAATGGGATAGGTAAAGAAAGGAGATAGGCATGAAGTTTAGGATGGGTTTGCAATAATCCTCAAGAATAAAAACTGATATAAACCAGAAGTAAGGCAGTTCTGATGAGAGCTGGTCCCTTCATTTACCTCTAAGTTAAATGGTGAAATGTGGTGACTGATAAGATGTGAAGAAGCTGAGAGTTTCAAGCTCAGATAATTTTCATGGAGAGTGTTGCTATTCACCAAGGGAGGCAAAGACAATTTTGGTAGAAAGATGAATTTTGAACAATTTAAGGAGCCACTTGAAAATATGAATTCTGCAGCTTCAGAAAAAGAACTGGCTGAAGATTGGTCGTTATCACTGTATTGAGCACAGTTGATCTGTTTGGAATAGCACCAAATCTCCTGAGAACAGAATTATAAAGTGAGACTGCTATTGATATGTTAATTAAACAAACAAAAACATGCACACAAAGAGGTCACTGAGAAGACTGCCCAAAAGTATGCAGAATGAATATACAGTGCTAGGATGAGGACCCGAGGCAGATGGAGGACTGACTGGGAAAGAATGGTCAGAAAGGAAGAATCATAGCAATTTTATGACAGAAGAAACAGGAATAGGTGATGAAAAAGAGGCCCAGTAGGATAAGACCTGTAAAAGGATGATGGTTTTAACAGTTAAGAAATCATTGGTGACGTCTCATATTCAGTAAGTCAACAAAATCAAAAGTGGATTTTTAAGTTTTAATGGTCATCACAAAAATAAAAAATTATTATATATAACAATTTTAAAGATGCTACAACAGTTAAAAACAATTTTGTGTCTTTTCTTTGGAAATTGCTTTAAAGATACATGCATTATCTTTAAACAGCTCTCAGTAAAAACAAATTTTAATGCTTTGAGGGTAAATTTGGCTTTTGCCAAACAGCCAAAAGTTAGTAAAAATCAGATCAGATAGTTTAGAGAGACAGCCAAGCTGTGGATGGAACCAACCTGTCTAAAATGAATTATAGGCAAAAATAACTCATTTAAACTATTTCTAATAATAACTGAATATCTGTATGTGACAGGCAGTGTACTGTGTTAGATATACATAACGCAATAATACTTGGCGATTATAAATTAGGAAAAGATATTAAACAACTAAACACAAAAAACAATTACAAACTGCAAAAAGTGCTATAAAGAAAAAGAACAGCACAGTAAAACAGAATAAAAGACAGTAATTTTGATTATCAGGATTATGGTCAGAAGAGGGAGCTCTGAAAGCTGAAAAGTGAATGGTGCTATTTTAGCTAAGCAAGGACTAGAAAAAGTGTAACATCTCCCAGTTAACATCAGTGTAAGGCCTCAAGGCGAGAAAGGAGTGAAAACTGCAGGCAGTGACCTGTGTGGTTCACAATCTAGTAGATAGTTCCTAATTCCTAAGAAATCTGTAATAACTGACAGGTGTCACTTCTAACACGTGTACGGAAGGTCCTCATTATCTGAGCTGCCCAAAATGTGAAGACTTCATCTCCCAGTCAGATCTACTTTCCACTCAACAGAGGCATCTGCCCCACACATGGATCCACATTTTATGTGTCCTTGCAGTTATTGGAAATGACATTGAAGAATAACTCCCATCAGAGTTAAAACTACTAGCAGATGAAAATCTGTACACATTAAGCCCATTAAAATTGAAGACAAGCAAATCATTAAGTATAATCATGTGATACTTCTTTCAAAAGAATGTTATGAAAAATCTAGCAACATTATTTACAATAGCCAAGACAACAGGAACAACCCAGGTGTGTGTCAGCAAAGCGTTGGTTTAAGAAGACGTGGCTTGAGTGTACACACACACACACACACAAATATTACTCAGCTACAAAAAAAAAAAAAAAAATGGTGCCATTTGCAGTTAACATGGATGAACCTAGAGAATATCATACTAAGTAAAGTAAGTCATACAGAGAAAGACAAATATATAGTATCACTCATATGTGGCACCTAAAAAATAATACAAGTGAATCTATATAAAACAGAAACAGAAAACAAATTTATGGCTACCAAAGGGAAAGGGGGATAAATTAGAAATATGAAATTCAAAGATACACACAATGTAAAACAGGTAAGTACAAGGACTCACTCTGTATGGAAATGATCTGAAATATGAATCACTTTGCTGCACATTGGAAACTAGTACCATACTGTACCTCAGCTGTACTTCAGTTTAAAAACAAAGAATGACACATGACAAAGCATCAAAGCCCTTAGGAAAAGGATGAAGCCCTAGTAGCTTTGCCGTGATTTTCTCTATAATCATGCTGGGAATAAATACTATAAAGTGAATGGCATCATGTAATTTTGCTGGAAAACCTGAACAAAAGAAAAAAAATCAAATGTCTGAAATAACTCTCTTCTAAGAACTAGTGTAAGAATTGCATTATAACTTAAATCTTGCTAAATATAAGAATCTTTTTCCATTAACTTTGGGTTTTGTATTTTAGAACTAAGATTGCTCTGAATTATTTTCAATTTATTTACCATGAAAAAGGTCTTTTTCATAAACCAATTATGATTTTCACATGTAAAACTCCTACATTCTGAATGACAGTTCTGTTTATGTATTCAAGCCTAGATATATTTATATCAAGATCAGTTACTTATTCACCATACATTGTCTATACTCTTTCCCCTGAACCTATCCGATTCTGTTGCCAGAAACGGATGGAGTTTGGGAGTTTCCATGTAATTTAACTACTTATAATCATGAGCTGATTCTAATTTGGTCTGTTATTCTCAAGGCAGGAAATAAAAGATGAATTAAAAACTAAAAAAATCTAAGAGTCTACTGTTCAGAACTCTTACCTTCTTAAACATACCAAATTTAGAACAGATCAAGTCTTAGAGGGGTTCTTTATCTACTGGAAACCAACTAAGCTATGCTTCTACAGTCAAGAAGCACATGACACTAAATTACCTTCAGCCTCCAGAAGCAGTTTAATGTTAATTAGAATTGCACCTTTGCTGTAACAAGTCCTTTCCCAAAACTATATATAAGTGTGATGTTAGGACTGCAAACTGGGAAACAGGAAGAGGCAAGTGAAGCAGTACCTCAAAAGAGGTGGTGCCTAATTTTTAATTTCCAGCTCCAAAGACTTAATTTACTTGAACTCTAAACATGGCAATGAGCCTGACAGAAATTACTGAAAGCTAGACAACAATTTATATTGCAGATATGATTAAATCAAAACATCACTTATTTGATACCATAATTTCTCCAAAATCTACAGACATCAAAGGAAAAACATCAAAGAACATTTAATTCTTACTTCTCTAGCATCCATCACTGTCCCCACACCAACTGTTAGAGCCATAGTTGGCACTTTTGATAAATCTCCGTCAAAATATTTAGCATTTGCCAAAATGGTGTCCATTGCTAGAGTCTTTAGTCTTGTCCTTGATACTAAACTGGATCCTGGCTCATTGAAAGCAATATGACCATCTGGACCAATTCCTTTCAAAAGAAATACATACATACACACATATACACATAAGTAAATGAGGTTTCTCACATAAAGTAAATACGTTTTCTCAAAGTTAAACATGATTTTAAGACCAAAGAAACAGTCATAAACACACTCACCTTGTTTTATCTGATAGCTGAATTTCTAATGCTGCAGTAAGATATTTGTTCCTATATTTGATTCAACAAGTATTTCAATGCTTTCCATATGCTTAGCATTGAGCTAGCGTGATTGTAACAGCAGCCAAATTAAGTATCACTTTATATCAGAATAATACTTTATAAAGCATTTTCACATGCATCATCTCAACATCAGACATATTTAACAGTCTTGTAATACAGTCAGATTAGGCATATCTATTTAAAATCAAAGGAAAATTTGATGCCCAAGGATAATATATGACTTGTTCAAGGTAATAATTTAGTAAATAACTAAGACAAAACTCAGCCTAAACCTTCTGATTCCTAACCTAGTAGTCTTTATAGTCACACTTTAACTTGCTTGGTTCTTAGTCTAGATGGGGCAATTAACTACAGGGCCTCTCTGTAGTACAGTTTCCTCCCTTATAAAAATGTCTACACTGGACAAGTTATTATCTAAGGCAACAGTTTTCTTCAAACTTTTTTTGACTGTAACCTATAGCAAGAAATACATTTGACATTGCAATCTAACACACATATAAATACAGTTAAAATAAGAACCACATGAAATAATACTTACCCTTACTAGGAGTCATTCAAGCTACTTTTGATTACATTCCATTTACAAAAGGGAAATGCTGGATGTGACTGACCATACTGATCTCATAAGCTAATAATGTGTGACAACCACAATTTGAAAACATAACTTTAAGGAGATCTACTACCAGCTCTAATAGTCAGGACTGTCTCTAAAATATAGGTAAGAATATGACATTTCTTATTAGAAGGAAACTGGAGGCAAATCATTTTATAAAATCAAGAATCTTTCTGTGAGGTTATTACTAAATCAAGTTTTACATACATGGACCCTACCTGCTAGTCAGATTTCTGGCAACTTCAATAAAAAGAATAAACCCACAAGTTCTCTGGGTCAAAATATCTGTCACACTTATATTCTGCATATTTAATGATATATAGGTATATCATATTGATTTTTAATACATAATTCTGAAAACTTTTCCCCAGGCTACAAGGTAAAATATGACAAAGAGTAACCTGGCTTTGAAGGAACAAAGAAATGAAAACCTCAGGAAGCAGGTATCAACTTAGTCACTAACTCATGTCCAGCCCCTTGCAACCCCGTGGACTGCAACAAGCCAGGGTCTTCTGTCTGTGGGATTTCCCAGGCAAGAATCCTGGAGAGGGTTGCCAATTCCTTCCCAGGGGATCTTCCCAGTCCAGGGGTGGAACCTACATCTCCTGCCTTGGCAGGCAAGTTTTTTACTACTGAACTACCAGGGAAGCCCAAGATATGAACTACCAAAAAGCACAGTATGTGCTAACTTGCTTCAGTCGTGTGAGACTGTTTGCAAACCCATAGACTGTAGCCCGCCAGGCTCCTCTGTCCATGGGACTCTCCAGGCAAGGATACTGGAGTGGGTTGCCATTTCTTCCTCCAGGGAATCTTCCTGACCCAGGGATCGAACCTGGGTCTCTTGTCTCCTGCATTGGCAGGAAGGTGCTTTACCACGAGGACCAGCTGTGAAGCCCTTAGTCTAAGGAAATCTTTAATAATATAGGATTAACTTTTAATCTAGTACAGAAAGCCCAGACCTATATGTGGTTAATATGCATGCTCTGTTTCCACTATTACGTATGTATGTGCTTGAGAATTTTAAACCATAGATATGTATCTCTCTCTAGATATGTAAAACTGTTCTGCCTTTCCTCTTCCGTATATATCTGCCCAGACACTTTTATTTATTTTTCTCTATAGAGGAAAGGATAGAAACAGGAAAACAAAAGAGTTCCAGAAAAAATAGGAAGTCCTCAAAGATCAATTCTAGTGGTTTCACTGGTGATTTGAGTCATACAGAAGTGTAGAGCAAATTAACCACAAAGGCTCATGATGGAGAGGGGTCAATACATTCCCTTACTGACCATGAGTAATTATCAAAAATTGAACTTCTGGATATAAAAATGTATTTTTTAAATGTTCCGAATTTTTTTTTACAAAGCTTTATCAAATTTTGTTTAAAATAAGCATCAACTCTAAAAACCATGCTTAATCCTTATTCAGTCTGTAAGTCTATACTAAGATACCAACACCCTTATGAAACATCCCTAAAACCCGAGTCCCAGTTGTGTGTCTTCCCTGTGTCTGTAGTTCTGTGGGCTAGAAGGTAAACTTCATGAAAGCAAAGACTTCCTTCACTACTGTATCCTGATATTGAGAACACATGACACATAGGAGGCCCTCAGTGATAACAGACGGATAAATGAAAGGAGGCTGGTGTTCTTTGGTACGTTCAGCACAGTTATTCCCTCCTGCATCCCTGCTCTGATCCCCTCACAACAGGGCCAAATCAATGATAACACCCTATATCTCATCTCTTTTAGGCACAACTGTTGTGGTCTAGAGATAAGTACTTGTGCTAAGCTGAAACAATCAGAATTTCACTCTAGAAATCTGAAATTTGACCAAGGGATACAAAAAGAAAGAAGTCATCTAGAGCTGAGGCATCTGATGACAGCACTGCAGGACAGGCTCAGGTGAGTCCCTGCTTCGGTGATCTGAGGCTCGTGGTTCTTGTTCTTCTAAAGACGTGTTTTTTCAACTCTAATATCAATTATGTGAATTACTCCAGAATCATTCCAATAAATTCACTTTTGGTCCCATTAGTAGATTACAGTTACTTGCAAATCAAAGAATCTAATCATGTAACCAAAGTAGAGGGTTAAAATCTTCCCATCATCTTCTATTTTTTCCTTTAAAGCACAAATTATCTTAAGATCATTTAAAACTTAATAATGCATTTAGACTCTATAGATTTCCATGTTTGTATATTTTATTGTTGGATCAGAAATTGCATGATACACATTATTCTTTCTCCCAACACACTCTCATTAGAGGAAGAATTTCTGAGTGTATTTCCTCCTTTCTCCTATCTGTACAAGGATGGGAACTCTGGCTCCATTTCCTAGGAGTGAGCAATGGTGGGTTACTCTGGAGCTCTTGTCTGGTTTTACTATCTCTCATTCAGAGGGGAGAAGCAGGCAACCCCATTCTAGCCTCAAGCCCAGCCTGCCACCTCTAATTCAACTTTACCTTCAATAGGGCTGACATTTTGATCCCATTTGGCTCAGTTCTGAGTGTTTTTATTAACCAAACCCTGGAACAAAAGAAGGGTGAGTGGTAAGACCCAGATACCAAGCCTCATCTTGAAAATCCAATGATAACAACCTAGATCAACAAAGGCAAAGAATCAAATGAGATTCTTTCATGAGACGCATCCAATAATAGGGTATTCCAAACAGGGAGAAGCCCAAAGAACATGTAATAAGCCAACCCTTCATTCTCTACATAATATTATATGTCCCTTGGATGATAAATATGAACTGTCAGACCCTGGATTGGCCCATGACTACAGTGAAGGTGTTAATGGAAAAGGAAAGGAAATCTTAGATTTGCTTTTTTCTTTTTTTTGTTTGCAAGGGGAGAACTAGAGTAAGTTTAAGACAAAAATTGGTTAAAAAACAAAATATTAAGTGATTTTTAGTAGCAATAGTAATTAATAAACATAAATAATTATGATTAGGAGCCATTAGTTTCAAAGGGAGAACTAAGGTGGGTTATTTGAGGAAATGCACCAAAAAATTTAGCTAAAAAGAAACAAGAAGTGGCTTAAAGCTATGAGGGAAAAAGAAAGTTCTAGTAGAAGTATCTGAAAAGCAAGACTAAATGTTAAACATTACATTAAGCTAAAATATTTTCTGGAAAGTAGGCAAAGGGAAAAAATGGAGTTATAGAGTTCTTATCAAGTTTTTCCCCCAGTAAATTCTATTTCCTGGCAATAAGATCCCAAAGGATTTGTCACAAGAAGCCTTATGTAAGATCAATAAATTAACAGGAAAAAATAAGCCCTCAATTAAAGTAAAAAGATACTATTTATGTTATCCATGTAGTCATTTTTTAATACTGAAGTTTTAATAACTTGTATCTTTCTGTATAATGGTATGAGTGAAAAGTCGCTCAGTCGTGTCCGACTCTTTGTGACCCCATGGACTACACAGTCCATGGAATTCTCCAGGCCAGAATCCTGGAGTGGGGAGCCGTTCTCTTCTCTTACAATGGTGAATGAGTGAAAATGCTTCTTGACATAATTAAGATGCACAAGTTAGGCATATTATTTTATAGTAATTTTACCTTATTTTGGTATAGAGTTTATAAAATCTAAAGAATACATCAGCAGTGCACGCAAACATTTCAAAAGTCTACTGCCTTGCTATGGTATTGGTAGGTTCAAATGATAATTAGCCACATGGACAAAACTGGAATGCAAATATTTTCCAGGAATACTGAAGTAGTATTAGTAAGTTTTATTTAAAACATAGATATTTCCTATTTTGAAAAGCAAGATTCTAACTTGAATTCTTGCTCAAATAAAAACCATTCCCTATATTTAAGGCAGTAATTGATAATCGTTCTGCTGGGTAGATAACAATTTCCTCAAAGAGAAAAACTTCATTCTTGCCAGATATCCTTAGAGGTAAATCAGTAAAACAGCAGGACATTCAATACATTAAGAAAAAATTACTTTACAAACTATACCTCAGAGACAAAGAGTAAAGTAACACTTAATGGAATGCCAACTATATACCAAGCACTTCATAAGGCATTTTACACATTATAAGATGGTTAATTCTCATCAATTTTGAAATGGTTAATATTAATCCTATTTTAATACTGAACTAATTTACTGAAGTCAATAAATCTCCCAAGATCTTACAGATAGTAGGTGGCCAAAACTGGATGCTAGTTTTTGTCTAACTATAAAACCCAATTTTCCTCAAAGGCAACCAAACACCCCTAAAATACACGACCACCTTAACCATAAGTTAACCTCAATACAGGTCTAATTCATAGAATTTTGAGCATCTTCTAATAAATCATAAGATCTAACAGATATGTCTACCTCTAGATATCCAGTGTTAATTTAGAGCTTTGAGTATGTCTAGGTGAATACTAAAGAATCTGGCAAAAAAACAATTTTGGTTTCAGTGTCCATGATGCTGTAAACTGAATTCGGATGCTTCACTGTGATGACAGAAAATCAAACTGTCATTACAAAGGTAGAGACTCTTTCACCTCTCTTCAATGGTAGATCAGGAAGACACAATACACACACACGTGTGTATACGTGGGTGTGTGGGCACACGTGTACACAGAAATTTTAAGTGGAACTTAATTAAACATTTATTGAGATCTTCTTAAGGCAACCATAAAGCTCAATTCATACCAGCTAAAGGCTGACGATAAACAAAATCTGACATTCTTGATACATTTCTTGGTGAAATGAAGCAATTTAATGGTCGGTACAAAAATGTGAAAATCCACCTGTACCACATGCAGACTTTTAGAGATTCACGCTGTGATCTGGTAAGAAACCTGGGTTGGAATTTTAAAGAAACAGTCAAAGAATAAGAGTATCATTTAGGAAAAGAAACACATCACTCCTTTTCTAAGATGTGGTAAAGTGTCAGTTCTAAAGAGGTAATTAGAAGACTCCAGCAGGAATTAGGAGCTATTTCTCAAGCCACAATTTAAACAATTCCCCCCTGCAAAATTATTTTTTGATGAATATAAAGTAAAACAGAAATCAATAGCTAAATAAATCTGTATAACAGGCAGTCACAGATGTACTTTACATTACACAAAGTCTTGTTTTTTTTAATTTAAAGCACCTAATCCAAGTTCTAACAAATGACTACTGAAAAAATGTTTTACGTACCTCCAACAAAAAGATCAATTCCTCCAGCTTCTTTTATTTTCTTTTCAAATGCATCACATTCTGCTTGCAAATCTGTAGCATTCCCATCAAGGATATGAGCATTATTAGGATCTATATCAATATGCTTAAAAAAGTTATTCCACATATAAGAGTGGTAGCTTTCAGGATGATTTCTGGGAAGTCCTAAACACAAAGTTAATGAATAAAAACATAACTATTTTCAGAATTAAATCTAAAGTTGACTTTTCCGATTAAGCCACAAATGCAATTTAAAATATATAATCTTTCTATGCTATATTCAATTTAAAAGCATTTTTATATGGAATAAATGCTGTATTATGTCAGGCAGTATTTTAACCACTGTAAATGTATGTACTAACTCAATCAATGCTGTATGACATCTGTGGAAATACTAGTATCAATCTCACTTTATAGATGAACAGAAACACTGAAAAGTTAAGTCACTTTCCCAGGGTCAGGGAGCTAATGGAGGGGCTGGAACACAGAAGTCTAGTTCATGTGCATTTAATCACTATATTCCACTTCTCAAATATACAATTTAACCAGTAAGACTGATTTATGTCTTAAATTCAATATAAATTAAGTGGCTGCTGCTGTGAAGTCGCTGCAGTCGTGTCTGACTCTGTGTGACCCCACAGATGGCAGCCCAGGAGGCTCCCCATCCCTGGGATTCTCCAGGCAAGAATACTGGAGTGGGTGGCCATTTCCTTCTCCAATACATGCTATGCATGCTAAGTCGCTTCAGTCATGTTCGACTCTATGCGACCCTATGGACTGCAGCCCATTAGGCTCCTCTGTCCACGGGATTCTCCAGGCAAGAATACTGGAGTGACTTGCAATTTCCTTCTCCAAATTAAGTGGCTACACAACTGAAATCTTTGTCCTCTTCTGTTATTTCTATTTGCATGCAAGGTATACTTAACTACGACGGTTCTTTGGCAATCATGCTACCATTAAAAATATACACCTATAAATTGTAAATGTTAACAGAGTTCATCTGTTTCCAGTTCAACAAGTTGTGCTGGGTTGCTCAGTCGTGTCCGACTTTTTGTGGCCCCATGGACTGTAGCCTGCCAGGCTCCTTCTCTATGGGATTCTCCAGGCAAGAGTACTGGAGTGGGTTGCTATTTCCTTCTCCAGGGGGTCTTCCCGACCCAGGGATCGAACCAGCGTCTCCTGTCTCCTGCACTGGAGGCAGACTCTTTACCCGCTGAGCCGTCAAGGAACCACAAGCAAGTTAACCATCAATAAACTATAAAAGCTTCAAGGCTACAAATATAAACAGCCTTATACTGAAAAAATTTTACTAGTTACTTTAGATACATAGTAATCAATTTCTCCCCACACTGATTTTAACTTTGCTGCGAGGAAAAAAGAAAAAGAATGAGGAATATCAAAGAACTGGCTCCAAGCTGATGGAGCCAGGACTGCAAGTAGCACAGCGGAAGGTGAGCGCAGACCTTCTAACTTCCGGTCCCGTGGTCCTTCCACCGAGTCATGCTGTCATTACATAAATATAGAAACGCTTAAATGACCTTCCAACCCGCCACAAGGTGGGACATCGTACTCTAGAAATATATTCATTCAAAACAAATGTAAATAATATGTTGATATTCTCAAAGTATATTCAACTTATAATACAACATGTCCAAATAATACATGCAAACAATATAGCTTACCTACATATTCATCCATGTTAAAGGTCTTCACATATTTAAAAGAAAGGTCTCCATTCTTGTGATATTCTATAAGTTTTTTATAACATCCTAAAGGTGTACTCCCTAAAACAGATAAAGATTCCATTTTCTAACAGTCTAATTTTTAAAAAAGTATATATTAACTTTATTCTCATCTTAATGGTATTTTATACATCTTATTAGGCAAACGATTATTAACTTAAAGACGTATTCAATTAATGAACATATGTTGAATTAGTCTCTTTACAGGATACCCTAAAATTTTAGGAAATCAGAATTTGCTGAATAAAGCTGAGAATCTGTCAGCTTAAATTACAGCTTGGAAAATTCTTATATTGTTGGATATCTGGAATTAATGGTGTATATTCCAAGACAAGAAACTTCTAGAGAGCACACATTTGAATGAAAATAGAAATAAACATCCCACTGATAGAGAAAAAGTCTTTACTTAGGGAGGGATCTGTAGCACAAACGATATGTAAATAGGGAAGTGGTGACCATTTCATGAAATCGAAGGGGAAACCAGAGCTGAGTTTCAATACTGCCTCTACTTTCAACATAGAAAGTGGCAAGGACTGAGTGAGGAACCCTGTCTTTTTTTTAACTGGAGTTCCTGCTTCTCATTTTGTGTTACTGTCAACATACATCAGCTAAAACGTATAAAGTAAAATGGCTTCTAGGAAATGGGATCTTGGCTTTGGATACTTCATCGAGCTCTTAATGTTACTGTTTTATAAATGTAGTTCTTTCATATGTTTTTACAAAACTAAGATCTAATTGACAAGAGCTTCATGAAATGACACAACAAAGATAAGTAAATTCAGCACCTGTGGATGTTTTTCAAAATTGCTTTTTTTAAACTACAAATTCAAAGACTAAATTGACTGCATTCTTAACATCATTCTTACAACAAACAACCTGGCCCACACAATCCTGGTCAGAATATTGATTTTTAATCCACCTACCATCACAAACCAAAATAAAACACAGACACATAAAGTTTCTATTCAAAAAGCAGGGAGAAGTATGGCAGAACTGAACAGCATCTGGCAAAACAAAACATCCAACCAAAAAAAAAAAACCAACAACAGTAAATACAGAAGAAATCTGGAGTAGTAAAAAAAAAACTGCCTCTCATTTAAGATGATAGGATAATAGAAGTGGCTAAGTATCACACAGACAAGTTCAGAGAACAGAAGACTAGTAAGTTTAACTTTTCTTAAAGTTAAAACCACAAATTGTTTTAAATTGTCATTAATAATTTAAAATTTATGTTGTCAAACTTTATAATTCCTTATCAAAGAACTACAGCCCACTAACATGAGACCAGGATAAAAGATGGACAAGTATACTTTTCTTTCTTCCTTTCTAGGAACATAAAAAATTTTCTGGGTCTATCTTTTGATGTCAAGAGAAGAGTTATAAGACTCCCTCTATAATTTAAGAGCATATGAAGAAAAATGTAAGAAGTTGTCACAATAGTGATGACAAAAATACATTCATTTTCTACTTTTTAATCAAAGTGGCTGAATAGAAAAAAAAACAATGGAAGATATGATACAGGGTGAACTGGTGAAAGAAACTTCATTTTAATATATTTGCTTTGCAATACTCATTTACTAACAGAATTAATTCAGTACGTGTTTACTATGTTTCAGATTAGGACTCTCAACCACAGAAGAACTCACAAGCTATGGATAGACAAGTACTAAACGGCCACAACAGAAGGAAAAATATTATAAACTACAAGAGATCTGGAGAAGCATAACGCATCAAAGAAGGGAAGACTACAGTCTTGGCTGTTGAAAGGAGGATCAAAAATGGCATTTCAACAGAGTCTTTGAAGAAGAGGTGAAATTCCCACAATCAAAGAATGGGCTAAGTCTTGACTAAATATAGAAAAAAGATGGGGGAGGAGGTTCAGAGATGCCATCTGTATGCCTGTGATGTGCTAGAGGCTGTGCTGGTGTATGTTATGTATACATCGTATGTCAGCTGATGTAAATCTCACAAGTCTGGAAAACTCACATTATGTTTCCCATTTGGAAGGTGAAGAACTGGGTCAAAAAATATCACACACATGGTAGTGAAGTCAGAGATTGAACAGACTCTGCCTGCTTCTGGAGCTCATAAAGTTTTTATTATACAGCACATTTGCAACACTAGTGAAAGGAAAGCCAGCAAGTTCANACAAGTCTGGAAAACTCACATTATGTTTCCCATTTGGAAGGTGAAGAACTGGGTCAAAAAATATCACACACATGGTAGTGAAGTCAGAGATTGAAGAGACTCTGCCTGCTTCTGGAGCTCATAAAGTTTTTATTATACAGCACATATGCAACACTAGTGAAAGGAAAGCCAGCAAGTTCAGGCCTGTTCTTTCAACTACAAGCAGTCTAACTTGCCTCCCATGATTCAGCATAGGGGAATGGTGGGAGTATTAAATCTGGGAGGCAGGTGAGGCCCACAGCATGCAGGCCCTTAAATGTCACGCTCGTCAACATCACTTCAGTAAATATATACGGAAGAGATAATCCCCAGAACTGTGCTTGGCGGCACTCGTATGGGTGTGCATGCACAGCTGTGTCCGACTCTGCTACCCCATGGGTTGTGGTCTGCCAGGCCACTCTGTCCACGGCATTTTCCAGGCAAGAATACTGGAGTGGGTTGCCATTTCCTCCTCCAGGGGATCTTCTCCACCAAGGGATCAAACCGAGTCTTCTGTGTCTCCTGCGTTGGCAGGCAGAGATTCTTTACCACCGTGCCTCCTGGGAAGCCCCAGAATTGGGCGTGGTGCAGCATGATTACAACACAGCATGTTACTGACAATTACAGAAATGTATGTTCACATTTCAAAAGCACACAGGTGAGGATGGGGCGTGATTAACACTGTCACTGGTCAATGAAGGAGAAGAGAGAAAAATGTCAACAGAAGTTTTTCAGAAATCAACCCTTGGCAGGCGTATTACTAAGCAGTTACACTATCCAAAAGAGAGCAAAAGGGCTGTATATTTAAATACACACAAAAAATGTTCAGCATTGCTGGTGTGTATGACTCCGAAGTCTTTCTGTCCCCACACTCAAATTACTGTCTACTTCTTCACAATTAACACAGAATGATTAAGGCAGCTGGTCTGAGCATGGCCCAGGCTCACACAGGGCGAACTGATACGGAGGTCTTGTTCAACCACTGCAGCTCACATCAAAACTGTGGGTGCTGAGGGGCCCATTTCCAGTGAACACAATAAAAAAAAAATCCGTCTTTGCCATTCTCACCAAGAACTACTGCCACAGACCAAAAAACAAAACAACAAACAAAAAAAACAACTTGGTGAGTCAGAGAACGTTTCACGGAAATTATGCAAGTGAAAAAAATTATGATGGTAGCTTTTATGAACTGACATGTATGGGGGAAGGAGAAAATACTGTTTAAATAAATCACATTTATGAGAATCTTAAAGTTATATAGTGTTTACAGCATATAAAGGACTTGCTCTTATTTGAGCTGCAAAACAACATTGTAAGCTATTAATTTCCTTACTTTCGTTAGGTAAGGAAAAAAAATTAGGGTGTAGAATAAATGGTATATTACCTGTTGGCAAACCCAGTGTAAAATATCTGTCCTGTCCAGGTCTGAACTGAATGATGCGGTTACAGATGTATTTGGCTGCCCACTCACTAGCCAGGTCATAGTTATCAAGAATTACAAGCCTCATTATGGTGATGCACAGCTTCCAGGACAAGAAGTTCAAACCTGAGGAAATTTCATTTAGAGCACTTTAAGTGATTAGCAGATAGTCAAAGAGACGCATAAGACACTGATGACTTTAAAAAGGATATTACTTAAGAAAGACATGCATGTATACAAATACAATCTGTACTTTTAAAATAGCACTAATAGCTGCTCTCTACTGAACAGACTTCAGGTGCTGGGCAGTGGGCTAGGTCAGTTAAGTACAAATATTAATCCTTACGACAAGCTTCTAGGGAAAATACAATGTCCCGTTTCAGATGAGTAGAGGGACTGACACAATTTGAGTTCACATAGTTGTTAAGTGACAAAGTCAAAATTTTTATCAAGGCAAATTTACTGTAAAGACATCACACTGCATTGTCTCCACAGGGATACTATATAAAGCAACATAAAACAAACCTAAAGGCAAACAAAGCAGCACTCATTTATTGACTGCATTTATTATTTATTGATTGACTGATTGCAGTAATGATTACTCAGCACCTTATGGGTTACTTACTAAAATCCAGAACTCTCCCTATGAATGATGTAATAATCAAACCTCTCTTCTGGTAAATAATGTTCTTATAAAAGTAACAGCTGCACTTTAAAAAACTTCAATCAATACAGAAAGGTACAAAGAATTAAACAAAACCAAAAACAAAGACCCGAATCCTGCCACTTTGAAATAAAGCTCATTACTATTAGGTATACATCATTCCATATATCTATATAATGCACATATACAAATGGGATGTATAGAAATAGTTTCTAGCCATGGTATCATACTAGACATTCTATTTTTAACAAAAAGCACTTAATTTTCTGCCTTCAACAGGAGCAAAAAAAAAAAAAAAAGTCAACTAAAAAAACTGCAGATGTCCAGGCAAAAGAATTCTTCACAAAAAGCAATTTCAGTTCCTAAAAGAATATTATAAGGTTAAGAAAAAAATATTATACAAATATTAAGAGAGAGGAGTCATTTTAAAACTGTATGATTCCATTTTGGACAACATGGCTTGACCTGCTACCATGAAATATGTGAAAACTGCTTTCTTCTACTTTTGCCCACCCCCTGATTTCTGTAAGATGTGTTATTTTTATATTGTCAAGATTTATAACATTTACCCTGTGCTTTACAACCATAATTTCCAGATTTTAACTCTTAGTTTTGTATTTAAATGGATGTTACACCAATTCTTTCACAAACGGCTTTAGCAGTCCTGAATTCTGTACCCACAAACTTTACATACAGTAGTAAATCAAATTCTTCACATTAGCAGGAATAGAAGGTCTTATAATAATGAATACACTGAATCTAAATATGTCCTTAGGACCATATGATTTAGAAATCTGGCATAACGAAAACTTACAATCAACATGATCTAGAATTCTGGCCCAGTAACAAGAGAGAAACAACATTTACAAACAATAATTCACACAGTAAGTCCAACAAATGGGCTTAATTATTTCAGTCCAGGAAATGGACTTGGCCTCTATTTAAACTCATTAATAATCTAGTAGCAGAAACTATTTCAAAGTTACATCAAGGAATCAGAAACACTTCCAAGCTGTTTTCACCATCAAGAAATATCATTATTTATAATAAGAATATTCAGCAAAATGACTATTGATAAAAAGAGAGAAAAAAACCGGTAAGGTGAGGAGGAAATGTCATGAGAGTTTTGGGCGCATGTTATTTCTTTTCTCAGTTCAACACAGGTAAGAGGGAGGGCCTATTAAATACTAAGCACTAAGCTCTGTAGACATAAAAATGACTAAGATAAAGATCCTAGTGTCAAAGTGCTTAGACTCACTTAATAGTCTCTGCTGTATTAAAAGAACTGATCATCCTCATTCTTCAGATATAGAAAACTGCAACTCAGAAGTTTATTACTGAAGTTATAAAGCTATTAAGTGGTGGAGGGTCTATCTGACTGAAAGACACATGCTCTGCAAAAGCGTCTTATAAGAAGAATCACTTAGGATCCCTGTCAGAAAGATTCCCAGGACCTTTCCCTGGACATAGTGTTGCAAAAGATCTGGAACGGGACCCAGGGAATTTGCACTTACACAAATATCACAGGTGATTCTCACAATCAGGATAAATTTGGAAAAGAACATCATACACAATGACTTCATTGTACAGAGGTTCAAGTAAGCCCTTCAGACCAAGTACTTTGTTTTCTCAAACTCTTCCGTGTGCCCAGAGTTCACTTCCCAAAGTCCCAAATGAATCACCGGAGAAAAGTTGAATGTTTTCGCCACATGTGTTCAGATTTTAAAATCTCTTTTCCCAGTTTTCGCCAATCCTCAGAGATCCAAACGGATGCGGTCCTCGACCATTCCCTAGCATCCTGACACTACAGTACTCAAAAAATGACACAGCACCCCTGTCCTCGTCTTTCTTAGGCGCTGATTCACTTTGGCTGTGCATGCCCTCGACAAAGAGCTGCCAAACACAAACCTCAGAACTGTAATGCGGGGTGGGAACTTCTGGACAACTTGGGTTAACAGCTATTTTAGAATCTACACTAGAATCGGGAATCTTAAGCTTCCAGAACCCCTGCTATGCGCCTTCCCCCTACAACACACTACACCTGACCTCAAAGAACCTCTGAAGCCCGGCCTGGAAGGAGGCCCTCTGGGAAGCGGGGATCTGGTGCCGACGAGGGGCTGAAGCAGCAGCGAGGACTGTGGTCCCTGCCCGGGAAGGCGAAGGCTGCAAACCCAACCTCACCTGCCCGGCTGCAGGGCCCACAGTGAATGCAAATGAGGATGACTATCGCGCAATCGTAACAAGTGTCAGGAGAGGGCCCCCAGGGAGCGCCCCTCGCCGAGGCTCAGTTCCGAAGAGGCCAACCTGCTAAGTTAGCGGGAGACAGCGCTGCGGAACACGACGGGCCTCGCCTCGAGACTCCCGGGAACCCCGTCCGCCCGGCGTCCCCGTCTCCGCACACAGCCCACCGGTGGAGGCAACGACCAGGCAGGTCCCCGCCCGACTCCCCTTCTTGGTCCTTCCGCGTGGGCTCACCTGTTGACCCACTGGCTCCTCCGACGCGGGAGCAGCTAGAACAGCCAGCACCCAGCAACCCGGAGCGACCCCGGCCGGCGCGTGGAGCGCGGCGCCGCACGACCCGGAAGTAAACCCCGGCGCGCCGGAGACCGCGGCGCGTCCCGCGAGTCCTGCGCATGCGCGCGCCTCGGCTCGCCAGGGATGAGCCGCTAGAGGTCCCTGTGAGTTGCGCCAGGCAGGAAGCCTTTGCTTACGTGAGTCGCCAGTTCCTGCGGCATCGCCTAGACGGTGCTCGTTTTTTTCATCTCTCAAGGGTTGAATGGCAGTAGGCTCTTTGGGTTCATGAGATTTAGCACAGAGGACTGCAGTGCTCATGCATAAGCATTTATAATAAATAGTAGTATTTATTACTTACCCCAGGCT